CGCGCGCATTGCCGCGCTCGCCCACCCAGGCGTCCCCACCCGGCGGACGCCTAAGTGGGGGCCTCCTGCCGATCTCTCCGAAATCCGCCACGCGCAGACGGGGGGGTAGGGGGAGGGCGTGTCCTGCACTCCCCTGTGCGGGTCGTGTATGTGTGGCTTCTGGCCACTGCATGCCTGCGCTTGGGATTACAGTCCCTCTAGCACACCACCATCGCTTGCATTCTGCAGTATGCGACGTTTCGTATACTGTGCCTTCGACACTGCTCGATCGCGATTAGCACCTTCATCTGCTGCCCGCGCCCCCCCAGTCAGGTGCATTCGCCTGAGCCAAGCACCGCCTCTGGCGTTGGGCGCCGCCGCGCGGCGCCACGACCGCTCAGCGCGCGCGTCGCAACGTGTGGGGGGGGAAGGCTTCTAAGAATCAGCCTCCTTCTAGGAAGCCTTCCCCCCACCCCCTACCCCATTGTGCGCGCCGCCAGAACCAGTGTATACCCAAGATGCGTCAACAACGTTGCAATACACCCTCCCTCCGAGTGCCTTCTTTCGTGGGCCCCTGCAAGTGTCTATGCTCATTGGCAGGACAGGCTAAGTTATGCCTCCAATACGCATGGAGTGGTACGACATCGATGGCTACAGAAACTTCGGCACCATCCGCAGTACAGAGGGAGGTCGCCCTGTGCCGGCCCTGCGGCGCCGCGCGGGCCAGGGCGGCGCGGGGCGCCCAGGCCGAGGGTCTCGCCAGGGCCGTGGGCCAGGCAGGCCGCGGGCCAGGCGGCGGCGGAGGGTAGTCCCCTTCCCCCTCCCCCCTCCTCCTCCTCCTCTCCTCCTCCTCCTCTCCTCTCCTCCTCCTCCTCCTCTCCTCCTCCTCCTCCTCCTCCTCCTCCTCCTCCTCCACCCCTTCCTCCTCCCATCTGCGTTGCTTTGAGGGGTTCATGGTTGGACTGACGAGAGAGGGAGGCCGTGGGTTCGACCACGGCGGCCCCAGCGGCCTCTTCGATCGATGCGCGAGTGGACGCGGCCTTCCCGAAGGGTGCCCGCGCGCACTGGCCGTCGACATCTACTCCGTCTTCAAGGGCTCGGTCTTCCATTTGAGGGGGTTCCTTTCTTGAAGCAAAAAATGGAAATGCCCACCTCCACTTCCTCCTCCTCCTTCTCCTCTTCTTCCTCGTCGCCGTCGTCGTCCTCCTCCTCCTCCATCCTCCCCCGCTCCCCGCTACCCTCCCCCTCCTCGCCCTCCGCTCCCCGGGCCCGTCGGCCTAGATAGCTCCTCACAGTTTCCAGGCCGTTCACATCCCCTCGAAGCCTCGCCCATCACCAACATACCCTACGTACGACCTGCCACACATGGAAGCAAGCATCTCAAGACCCTTGCATGCTCTTCCTCCTCCTCCTCCTCCTCTTTGCCCTCCTCCTTCTGGGCCTCCTCTTCCGCAACCATTTTGGCTCAGGGCCAACTGTTCGCGCCCGGTTGCATCTCAGGAGCTATGTGCTTTACTTTTCTTCAGCGCACCACCGTGCATGTCGTCTATGCTCCAGATTCCGCGTTCTTCAGTCGATTACGCCCTTGATGTTATTCGGAAGTTCGGCAAACGGGCGAATCTCAATGTTCATTATTATGCAGCTTTCGCGGGTGCGGCTTCAGTATTGCTCTGTCTCTGTTCGTGCGTCCTTTGGTTTGCATAGACTACTGCGTCGATCGTGCGTAATCACTGGGGCAATCAGCCTGCCTCCAACGTCACCCTGAGATGGATAACGGCCTGCAACATCATCACCCCATCATGGCAGTGGTGAAGGAGTTGTGGGGGTGGGGGCTCTCAGGATCTTCGACAGCGCGACGCTGAATACAATGCCCGGGACCAGCATTCGGAGCAACAGCGCCCGGCACCGAGGCCAGGGCGCACGCCTTCAGCTCCGAGTGAAGTTTCGCCTTCTCCCGCAGGCATCGCACCAGCACCACGCCAAACTCGGGGGCGGCCAAGAGGGGGGTGATGACTAGAGGGGGGTGGATATCATGGCGGGGGCCATGATATCTCCCCAAATTTCATGGCGCCTCTTCTTATTTCAATACGCCGGCACCCCCTGGGCCGCGCACATGCCTCCGGCCATGATTTGCACCCCCCCTCTTGGACGCCCCCCTCTTGGCCGCCCCCGACAAACATCTTGCTGCAAGAATTTGCGGCTGAGGCTAAATCTGTGGAGCCACCGCTTTTGGATCCGGATCCCGTCTTCCTTTCGGGGTCTCAGGGCTTCTTGTTGTCAACCAGGATGCGCAGGAGTCTGTGCGTCAGCCTGTGGCGCTGGGGCCCTTCAGACGCTCGGCGAGAGACGTGCTTCATTCCCTGGAGGCACTGGCTGCGCACCATGCAGGTCTGCAGACTGAGTTGGCGAAATTTGCGAATGAGGACGAGCAACGGGTGCAGCAGCAATCTGGCAGGCGCGGTGGGGGGCGAACGGCCGCTTTCGCTAATCAGCGGCGCCGCGTCGAGGAGGAGCTGGCCGCCATCCGTACTTCCATCCCGTTGCCCTCTTCCGCATTGGCTTCTGTTGCTGCTGTAGACGGCAAGCCTGCAAAGGACTAAACAACGAAGAAGGACAGGAAGGTTAAGCATCTTGCCCCTCAGTCTCGCTGTGGCAACATCATGGATCCATACGAGAGTGAAGATGATGTTTCTTACAGCGCCTCTGATGACATGGCTGATGAATTCCCGTTTCTTGGCATGGGGGAAAAGGCTCCTGAGGGAAACGGGTCCTGGACCTGGACTGTGGGGCCTTCCCCCATGACGAGTTTTTCATCCTGAGTCCTTTTCTGACAGTCCCGGGGCCCGTGGAGGGCCCCGAGAGCCCGAAAACGGCGAAGAATTTCAGGACCCCTTTCCCTCAGGACCCGCTTCCTCCCATGGCGAGTTCTGCGGTGGGCCCGAGGCGGTTGCGTGGAGCGCTTGCAAAACCACTGCAGGGCCTGTTGGGGTGGGGCTTGATTGCAGCCACCGAAGTCAAGCAACCTGCTGCTGCTGCTGCTGCTGCTGCTGCTGCTGCAAGCTTCTCAGAGATCCGGCGTCTCGAGAAAATCGAGGCGACGGTGCTTCCTCGTTTCTGGCCTCTGGGGGCTTTCGCAGGGCCTCGGGGTCGCCAAAAAACGGCCCGGGATGAAAAGCCGGTCCCAGGGGAGTGGTCCACAGGTCGGGGGTTCGTGCCTCGAACCACTCTAGACGCCGGATGTCTAGGTTGTGGCGGGACAAGACACCTGTCCCAGCGATTTGTCTTCCTTGTCGGGGACCTTCGCGCCAAGGCCACCCAAGCCGTGCTCGCCGTAAGCGACCATAGCGCCTCGCTGCATCTGAGCCGCAGCAAGAACGTGCCGCACCCAGAAGGCAGTAAGGTGAATTGGCAATAAGTGTATATCCAGGAGTACAGGCAAACAAGACAATGAAGCTGCACCGACAGTGCCAGCGATCATACGTGCGCAGTGGTTTCATCGCCACCGAAGGGAGTCTATCACATGGAGCCTAGGCCAGCTCGGCAGGAGGAAAGCGATGCAGCACAGACGATACGGTCATCCGTCGGTTTTCTATTTCGAGCGAGGCTCAGGAATTTGCGTTCGATGTGTTTTGTTTTCAAGCGCTGCCGTTCAACAGACTGTTTCCGCCCCCGTTCTGCCGTAAATATATCAGATTGGTGCTGGGATCGCATCTAGCTCGGGTTGTAGTCCCGCCCCTACAACTCACTGCACCGTTTCCGCCCCCATTCTGCCGTAAATATATCAGATTGGTGCTGGGATCACATATAGCTCGGGTTGCAGCCCCGCACCATACAACTCACTGCACCTTGTGCGATGACGTTCCAAACTGTTCCCACCGCGTCGAAATTGGAGGAACTGTTGCAAACTATCGAATGGCCTTCGACCCATCCAGCTACCGTGCCTGGGTTGTGGGTATGAAGCCTACTGGATGTTCGTTGCGATCTCGTGGGAAGCCTCTCGGGGGCATCTTGGAGGCAGTTTTGGGGCCTCTTGGGGGCCGTCGTGGGGCCTCTTGGGCGCCTCCTGGATGCCTCTGGAGGCCTCCTGGGGGCCTCTTGGGGCAGAAGTTTCGGTTCGTGTTCCCTCTCTTGGGCCCTTCTTGTGGCCGTCTTGGGGCCCTCTTGGGCTGTCTTGGGAGCCTTTTGGGCTGTCTTGGGGTCTTCTTGGGCCGTTCTGTGGTCCTGTTGGAGGCCTGCCTCTTGGGCCGTCTTGGGCGATCGTGGGGGCCTCTTGGGCCGTCTTGGAGCGTCGGGAAGCCGAAAAGGCGAGAACGCCCAAATCCTTCGGAGCCCTCTACGGCCCGAACAAGTCCTGCGAGAACATCTCCAGGAGCCCACAGGGGGGCACGCGGGAAGCTCCAGCGGGCACGCGGGAAGCCCCAGAAGATCTCGGACATGGAGGTCCGGGCCGTGTAAGAACTCCTCGGGACTGGGGACTGAGGCTCCAGGGATCACAGGCAAACGACCTCAAGACACGTCCAATCCGTGTCCAGAGGCACGGTAGCGGGTAGATATTGGCCTTGTCCATCCCGACATTCAGGAGCTAAGAGCGCGCGGGCTTTCGCGGCACCATCTGTTGAGGCCGCACCGCATCCAGCCAAGCCTGGCTCTTGTATTCGAGGGAGTTGCTTGCTGCTTGTCTCGACTTTATACGCATGCCTCAACTGCAGATGGGCGATCCTGAGGTTTCGCCGGCATGTGGTGTTCATTACGGTTCGTTTTATGGTCCTCATACCATGTCTGGACTGCACACTTGCTTCGCCCAGGGGTTCGCCGGCAGGGAAGGCCTCTGATTCCCTTCTCCTCTCCTCTCCTCTCTTCTCCGTATCGCCTTCGGGAGCGCGCTCTTTGCCTCGAGGGGAGTGCCTTGCCTTCCTCCCTTCCTCCTTCATGCTTCACTTCCCCACCTTTTCCTCTTCGTCCTCTCCTCATCCTCTCCCCTCGGTTTTCCTGTGTTGCCTATGTCCGATCATTCCCTCTGAGGACGAGACCGCAATGAAGCTCAAGACGGAGGAGTTTCGCGCAGAGTGCGAGAAGAAGATGCGCGAGAAGGACCATTCATGTCCAGAGGTTGAGGAGGAAAAAGAGGAGGAGGCAATGGAGGAGGACGATAGTTATCTCCAGCAGCAAGACAGGGCGTGGCACAACCCGAGGACGCACGCCAATCGGCTGATTCTCCCCACGGCGCCTCTTTTGGACTTGATTCGCGAGCCCCGACTCCCTCAAGAGGCTTGCACGGGCCAAAAGAACACCTGACAAGGGCCCCAAGAGACGCCTAAATCGCTACCCGGAAGCGAAAACATGGTGCTCCCAGGGGCTTTCGACGGACCGGAACGGAACCACCACCAAAGGAAATTTCAAGCAAGAGAATCCGAGCGAGCAAGCCAGAAGGAAGAAGGCAGAGCTTCTTCCGCTCGTCGAAGTCTTCCTGATGCCTCCGTTGTCAATGTTCCTACTCCCTCGTCTACTTTCCTGTTCCCTCATCGTTTCTCACATCATCTTAGTTCTCTCTCTCCTCGTGGCTCCTACCTCTTCCCCTCCTTCTCCCCATCTTCTGCCTCCTGTTTGTTCGTGCCCCTCTCGTTCATCCCTCCCTCCTCTCTCCTGCCCTTCTTCTTGCGTCCATCTGCCCTCGTTGCTCCGGTCTTCTCCGCGCTCCGTCATCATCTTTGTCACCCTCAGCCTTCCCCTCCATCGTTGCAACACGAATGCTATGCCTGCGCTTAGCTACAACCTGAGCGCGCGAAGCGTGCACGTGGTTGTAGTACACTTGGTGTATCTACCTTCCTAGCTTCACATGTTTTTTGTTTTAAACAAAAAATGCCTCGATACATATATATATATATACATTGATATATATATATATATATATGTATATATACGTATCTATATATATATATAATTCGGAGTTTGCTGATTGTGCCATAGTGTGGAATAGTATATCCGTAAGGGCTTCCGCCCCTGCCGCCGGCCCCCTCTCGCGGATAATGGGCAATGCAAGAGCGAAATCATAAGGCCTTGGCGCCGCCGTGAAGCAGCGTCGGGACTTCACGCGAAGACGATGGGCAATCGGCAAGACAAATTGAGATTCTGATGATATTGTTGAGTTCGGTGTTGTATTTCCAGGTCTTACGGCTGCGGATACGCGAATGGCGCGTAATTTCCGAGGGCTGATGGCTTCGGGCTTGCAAATATAGCGCAACCTACGCATGTATACGGCTTCGGAAACTCGGATATTGTATAAATTACGAAGGTGTATAGCTTTGGACACGCGATTATTGGGTAATTTACCAGGGTTGATGGCTTCGGGGTCGCAGATATTGCATCATTTACACACGTGTATGGCTTCGGAGACGCGACTACTGCGTTCTTTACGAGGGTTTATGGCTTCGGGGACGCGAATATTGCGTGATTGGCATGCGTTTGTGGCCTCGGGGACGCAAGCATTGCATCAGTTACGAGGGTTTATGGCTGCGGGGACACGAGTCTGGCGTATTTTAGAAGGGCTTATGGTTTCGGGGACGCGAATATTGTGTAATTCGAGAGGGTCTACGGCCTCGGGGACGCGAATATTGTGTAATTTACGGGGATGTATGGCCTCGGGGGCGTGACTTTCATGTATATATATATATATATATATATGTATATATGTGTATATATATACATATATATATACGTGTCCCACGCCCCCCGCAGGAATTCAGAGCACGCGATTCGGTCGTGGTAACTAGGTTCCTTCTCGCCCCCCCCCTCGCGCGGTCCATCAACAAGGAACAGTAAGCAGCAAGAAGCAGAACTGTAACAGTGGAAACTGGAAATCGGAACTGGCGCAGGGAACAACAAACCCTCGGCCTGCAGCCTGGTGGCCCCACAAGGGGGCGGGCGGATGACGGGAAGCGCGCCAAGACTCGAAGAGTCGCGCGATGGACGTCTGTTCGCCCAGAGGGATTTACTTATCAATTGGGGGAGGTCTGGAGGGGGAACGTGCGGCGCCGCCTCGTGATTCAGAGTCTGGCGGATTCCCAAAACGAGCGTTTCGCCTGAGACGTCCTCGCCAAATCGTGAAGTTGGGGGTCGTGTCTTAAGACGTCTGATGTTAAAAATGAGCGTTTCGCCTGAGACATCCTCAAACAATCGGGATATTGAAATCGATGGCCTAATTTTCGGTACTTCAAAAACGGCAGTTTCGCCTGAGACATCCTCGGATAAATGGGATGTCGAAAGAGTTGCTATGAGACATATGTTCGGGGTGTTCTTGGATAACCTTGTATATGATACTTGGCCCTTGTATATGCTACTGGTGGCCCGTATATATGATACTTCCTCTATATTAAGTTCTTGTATATGATCGCCCTTGTCTATGACATTCCTTGTGTATGATGTCTCTTGGCAGGGCTCTTGGAGGCCTCATGGGCCGTGTTGGAGGCCTTTTGGGCCGTCTGGAAGCCATCTTGGGCCGCCTTGGAGCGATTCTGGGCTATCTTGGTGGCCTGGGTGGGCTTCTTGAGCCGTCATTGAAGCCCTTGACAATCCCAGAGGTACGCTATGGCCGCCCAGGGACCCCCGGGAGTAGGGGCGGTGCAGTCGCCTATATGCGAGACGGCGGGTGGGCGGCCCCTTAGTTGCATATGATCTTGTTTGAATATGGCCTTCGTTGTATATGATCTTCCTCGTGTACGATGGTCCTTGTATATGATACTTCCTCTATACTAAGTTATTGTGTATGATCGTATTGTGAGGCTCTGTTGGGCAGTCGTGAGGGCCGTCTGCTCCTCACGTTCCTCCATCTCCTTCGCCCCCTCCTACACGAACACATCAGATAAGTAAGCGTTTCGCTCGAGACATCCCCCTTGCAAATGCTTTTGAGGAGGTCTTCTAAAACGTACCAGAGCACCTTCCTCCTGTGTGTGTGTGTGCGTGTGTGTGTGCCTTCGGACGGGCCTTCAAACACATCAGATAAGTGAGGGATAGACGGACGACATTGGAGGCGTACAGAGAAGTGAGGAGGATAATCAGGACTCTCCTTGTGGACGTTCGGGGAGCGCGTGTCCGTAGGTATCCCCTGTGGACGTTCGGAGAACTCGCCTACATTACATTTTATCGTGATGATGCTGCACGTTCGTGCGCAGCTCTGTCCTTTCACGCGCTTCCCGTTCATGCCAGGAAAAGTTACATAATGTTCCAGTGTGCTATCTAATATTTCTCTGTAGTGTATTGAATTACGCTGTGTTGCATCAGATTGCGCTTCCATGGAACATTGTAATATGTTATGCCGTAGTGCTGTGTTAGATCAGTTGTTGTATCACATTGAATGGGTGAGAAGAGAGGGGGGGAAGAGAGAGAGAGAGAGAGAGAGACAGAGGCGAGAGAGACGATAGAGAGAGAGGGACAGAGACGAGAGAGACGATAGAGAGAGAGAGAGGGATAGAGACAAGGTGTCGCTGAATTTGTGTACACGAAGCGGGGAAACGCACCCAGGGCCCACGGGGACGGGACCCCGACTTCAAATGTGGGGCCTGGAGGCCTGGCGCTCTCCTATAGTCAAGGGAACAGCGCTGGCAGTGCAGATTTTGAGTGCGTGTCGACAAATCGGAAGCGCGTGCGCGAGCGCACGCACACGCCCGCGCGTGCGCAGGCGCGTGCGCGCGCTCCGGATGGGGCTCGGGCTCGGGCTTGGTCTCAAGCTCGCGCTCGGGTTCGGGCTCAGGGTCGGGCTCTCGCTCGGGCTCGGGCTCGCGTTCGCGCCGGAATATCTGCGAGCGCACTCGCGAGTGGACACGCACGCGCGTGCGTGAGCGTGCGCGCGTGTCCGGGCGTGCGCGCGTGCGGACTGCCCCCGCTTGAGTGCGAGGCGTGGCCACGAGGCTAGGGCCCCCCCCCTCCTCCTCCTCCTCCTACTACTCCTCCTCCTCCTCCTCCTCCTCCTCCTCCTCCTCCTCCTCCTCCTCCTCCTCCTCCCTCCTCCTCCCTCCTCCTCCTCCTCCTCCTCTCCTCCTCCCTCCTCCCTCCCCTCCCTCCTCCTCCTCCTCCTCCTCCTCCTCCTCCTCCTCCTCCTCCTCCTCCTCCTCCCCACTGGCCGTCCCCGCTGACATCGTTTATACTTGTAGAGCTCTACGCGGGATGTGGTTCCAGCGCGCAACTTTTACGAGGGGGAGTGGTGCCAGCAGATCATGCCATGAAGAAGGGTGGGTCCCAGCACCCTTTTTACCAGGGGCAGGGGTTCCAACGGGAGAGTCGTTCCAGCAGATTGCGCCGTCAAGAAGGATGGGCTCGAGTACCAGGTTCTTACGAGGTACGCTGGCCCCAGCAGCCCAGGGCGTGGGTTCCAGCACTCGGTTCTGATGGGGGAAAGCCGCTTCAGCAGATTATGCCGACAAGACGGGCGGGCTGTCTTCTGTCTGAAAGGCAGCTAGGGCGGCGCCCCGCGCCCCAGCCACGAACCTTGTTACAGTCCGTCGAGAAGAGGACCGGCCAAATATCTACCTGACTGGCCAGTCAGGTGAATATTTTTGGTCGTGGAAAGTTTGACAACATTTGACGCATGTCCGCATATCGGAAGCGCATGCGCACGCACACGCACGCGCGCCCTCCGGAAGGGGCTCGGGCTCGGGCTCGGTCTCAAGCTCGGTCTCCAGCTCGGGCTCGCGCTCGGGCTCGGGCTCGCGCTTGCGCCCGAATATTTGCGCGCGCGCGTACGCCTGCGCGCACGAACGCGCGCACGCACACGCGCACGCACGCGCGCGAACGCGGACTGCCCCCGTTGGAGGGCGCGGCGTATCTACACTGCTAGGGCACCCCCTCTGGGCCCCGCCCTCGCCCCCCCTCCCCGACCTCGTTCCTCGTTTTGAAGCCCTGCGCGACAAGACGGGCGGGCTGACGTCCGAAAAGGCAGCTAGGGCTACGATGTGCCAGCCTACTTTAGCCTTGACCACCAGGAAGAATTTCGAGCACCCAGAAAGTACCGACATTTGAAAGTTTTCACGTGTCGGGCCCCGGGAGGCGATGCTCGTTCGACACTGTTGCGACGCTAGTCTGGGTGCTCGAAGTTATTTCTGGGATGTGGTCCTTCAGTACGATGGGAGCAACATAAAACTAGGGCGGCACCCCGCGCCCCGGCCACAGACCCTCCCACAGTCCGTCAAAAACGGCACCCGCCAACTACTTGCATAACTGGCCAGTCAGGTGAGTACTGTTGGTAGTGACATGTTGGGCGCGTGCCGACATGTCGAAAGCCCCAGGAACCTTACACATGTTGAGTTAGCATCGGTGCCGGAAAACGACGTATGATGATGATCTGTGCGCCATTTTTTTCTTTTCAAGACCATCCGAGGCATCACCACGGCTTCGAACTGGCTTCAGAAAGCCCCAAGAGAAGCCCCCCCAAGAGGCCCCGCAGACGCCCCCTCGAGTCTCCCACAGGCCCTCGGACGTCTCCTTGGGGCCCCCAAGAGCCTCCCAAGACGGTTCCGCTGAGGCCCCACGAGGATTCCCAGAGGCGCCCATGAGGTCACTAGAGGTTCAACACGTCCCCAACAGGACCTCAGAGGCCAGGAGAAGCCCCGACGAGGACCCAAGATGCTCCAAAGAGCCCCCAGGCGGACCCCGAGGATTGCCCAAGCGTGCTTCAATAGGCAAGCGAACTTCGAAGAGGCCCAAGACGCTCCCCGATGCAGCGTGGCCCGTCGAGCTCGTCCCGGGACCCGCTGGGTTCCGCCTTCTGCCGTGATGGATCCTCCTTCTTGGTGCCGCAGCTCCCACCGGCATTCGGCGAAAGGGGCTCCCAGGAGGCAGGGCGAGGAGGAGGAGGAGGAGGAGGAGGATAAAGAGGAGGATGCAGAGGAGGAGGAAGAGCAGGCGAGAAGAAAAAAGGAGAAGGAGAACACGATTTGGGTTCTCCGAAGTGGGGCAAGGGGCGGAGTCTGTAGGGGGGAGCGCGCGGCCTCTCGGTGGAGAAATGGGGCCGATAAACTGAGCGAGCAAGTGCGGGGGGGGGAGCGGACGAAAAGGACGTCGAGTTTCACAGAGTAAGTGTGATCGTCGTCGTCGTCGTTGTCGTCGTCGTCGGCCGTCGTGGTCGTGGCTTTCGTCGTCGTCGTTGACGTCGCTGGCGTCGTCGTCTTCGTCATCGTGGACCGTAATTGTCGTCGCCGTCCTCGCCGTCTTCGTCGTCGACGTCGCCGGCGTTGTCGTCGTTGTCTACGTTCGTCGTCGTCGTCGGCGGCGTCGGCGCCGACGTTGCCGCCGCCGCACCCCACAGTGCCACTCACGCGTGCAAAAGGAGGAGGAGAGATCGGATTGGGAGGTGTGGTGGGGAGGAGGAGGAGGAAGAGGAGGAGGAGGAAGATGAGGAAGGGGAGAAGGAGGAGGAATTGGAGGAGGAAGAGAATGAGGAGGAGGACAAGGAGGAGGAGGAGGAGGAGGAGGAGGAGGAGAAGGACCAGTCCAAATCCAAGACGCACCAGCGATACTGCAATAAACCCTCCTCTCAGTTCCTTCTTCATAAGCCCCTACAATGGTTCATTTTCGCTGAGGGAAGTGCCCCTGTGGAAGATACCAGTTCAAATCCTGAACGGCGCCAGAACACCATTCCTGTGACTCCAACGCTGCGAATCACCGTTACTGGCGCGTCTTGACGATCCTGAATCGTGCCAAAACGCCGCTCCTGGGACATCAACACCGCGAATGAACGCAACGGTTGCGCCCTGGCAGTCCGACAACGTGCCAACCTATCATTCCTTGTACGTCAACAATGAGAATATGTAAAGCTGCTGTCAGCTCTGAAAGAGGGGCTGCCCGTGAAGCTAAGGCGAGAGCCGCATTTTGGAAAGGAGCCGCCTTCCACCCGTGCAACTCCTGCACGCGTTTTCGATGAGTGCGCGCGGCGCTGAGGCGAGAGCCACATTTCGAAAGCCACCCGCCTTCCACCAGTGAAACTTCGACATTCAAGCAAGTGCGCGGCGCTGGGGCGAGAGACACGTGTTCAACACGGCCCGCTCTCCACCCGCGAAGCCCTCTTTGCAGCTCTGTAAGACGAGCGCGCGCGCGGCGCGACGGCGAAAGCCAGAGGTTGGGAACAGCCCGCCCCCCTCCATCCGTGAAGCCCTCGCAAACCTGTAGGGCAAGTGTGCGCGGCGCTAAGGCGAGAGCCACGGTTCGACAGCAGCCCGCCTTCCATCCGTGAAGCCCTTGCAATTGTCTAACACGGATGTGCGCGGCGCTAGGGCGAGAGCCGTTTTTCGAAGACGGCCCGCCCTCCATCCGTGAAGCTCTGGCAAATTACCAGCTTAAGGATCATACATGGTGAGGAAGTATCAGGCGACACGCCTGGCCCGCCCAACACCGAAACATATTGAGGAACAGGGGGGGGAGGAGGACGACGACGAGGAGGACGGCGAGGACGAGGAGAAAGAGGAGGACGAAGGGGAGAAGGAGGAAGGACCGGAGGAGGGGGAAATGGAGGAGGAGGAGGATGAAGAGAACCTCGAGGTGAGGGATGACTTCGCCGTCGTCATCGTCTACGTTCGACATTCGACGTTCGACCTTGCCGTCGTCCAAGATCGCGTCTGCAATCGGGGAAGTCTGCGCTAGAACCACAGCGCGCACGAATCACATACATATCTAGGTATGTGTATGTATGTGTGTATGTACAATGTCATACTTATATATGGAGATGTGTATAGGTGTGTGGAGCGGGATAAGGAGAGAGAGAGAGAGAGCAAATACAGACCTAGATAATTAGGCAACTAGAGAGAGAGAGAGAGAGAGGGAGAGAGAGAGAGAGAGAACAAAAAAAAAAAAAAAAAGAGAAGGATATATGGTGCGCGGCCACTCACAGAACACCCGGACATTCATGTCGCGCCCAACTTGGCTGAAAAGTGTTAATGGGCACAGAACCCCAGATCATCGTTTCAGCACAATGCTGCCCAACACGTTCGTGCACCTGGCGCTGCTCCTTGCCTCTGCACGCCTTCCTGCCGTCTGCTTATCCTCTTCCCTCCTCATCCTCCACTCCGTTTTCCTCCTCTTTCTCCTTCCTACCACTGCGCGTTGCCTGAGAAGGAAGCAGAAGTGGCCCGCAAGACGGAGGAGTTCAAGGCGGTTTGCGAGGGCCTCGCGAAGGAGAAGATGGAAATGAACAAGCAGCTGGCGCAGGTCCGCTCCGAGAGCGAGCGAGAAGCTGCCGCGAAGCAGGATGCTCATCCGTGGCCGCGTCTGCTCACCATCAACGCAAGAACGACCAAGTCCATGCTCGTATCATCGCTGCGGTAAACAAGGGGGCATGAGGGCCGTCCACTTGTAGAGTTTAGATGTGCGTGGGAGGTTTTATTTTAATTTGATTCGAGATCGAGACGCTTTGCGTTTCAGGTCTCGCCAGAAGTGGCGAAGACGGCTCCAAGACAGGATGGACAGGATCATCAAACAGGGAAAACTTTCCCACTAGTGTTTGTGTGTTGTATGTGTTTCTGCGTTATATTTCTTTTCCATCCCGGCGCCGAGTAGGCAGGTATGCCGTGTGGCTGGTTGATACCCGCCATTATTACCAACGGACCAGCGGTATGGACGATGGTTCTTGAGATCGTTGCTCCCTATCCGCAACAAGAGACCAACAATAGCCAGACCATCTCTCAACATGAGCCCAAGACGGTCACAATACGGCCCAAAAAGCACCAACAAGAGCCGAAGGAGCCCAAAGGGGCCAAGATGGGCCCAGGGTGGCCCAGGCGAGCTTCTAGACGGACCACGGCAGATAAAGAAACCACGGCGGTCACCCACAGGTGGAGCTGAGATTTGCACAGTAAGTTTGCACTTTGAGTCAAGAGGCGTGCGCCGATCCGCCGATCCCCAGCGTTCTGGGGGCATGTGAGGGGTCTCGAGGGCAATTTTGAGGGTGAGGGCCCCCTGGGCCCCAACGAGTTCGCCCGCCTGGGCCACTTTGGGGGCCTTCTTGAGGGTTCTGGTGGCCATTTTGGGCATGCCTTGGGCAGTTTGGGGGGCCCCCTGCGGCCGTCGCTGGGCCCTCCTTGGGGGTCTCTTGAGGCCACTGGGGCCGCCCGTCGTGGAGCTCCAGAGGCCCGACGGCCGGGGGAGAGCCAACACACCGTTCCGAGCATGTGAATCCTCCTCGTCCCCTGCCCCGGTGGCCTCCCCTCTCTGCCTCGCCCGTCTCGCTCCTTTCGGCCTCCGGCCTCTCCTCCCCCCTCCCCGGGGCGGCCCCCTCGCTTCGCTCGCTCCCCTCGCTCGTGGCCCCTCGCGCCCGCCCCGCTCCCGCGGTGGCCCTCGGCCTGCTGGCGCTGCTGGGCCCTGGCATGGCATCGTCCAGCTTTTCCCGTCGGTGCCGCTTCGTCTGTGCGTTGCCCAAATGGCTGCGTTCCGCCGCGGCGGCGTGCACCGAGGCTCGAGCGATCGCGCGTGCTGGTCCGCGGACTGCGGGTCGGTTTGGGTCCGTGGTGAGGGCGCGATGCTCCACCGAGCCGCTGGGCACTCTCGCGCAGGCAGGCCGCCTGGTCAGCTGGATGCCCGGTCGCTCGGCGTCGACTTGCTGTTTCCTTTCCTCCCCTCCCCCTCCTCCCCCCTCCTGCCCCCTCCTCCTCCTCCTCCTCCTCCTCCTCCTCCTCCTCCTCCTCCTCCTCCTCCTCCTCCTCCTCCTCCTCCTTCCGTAGCCATTTTGGCTCAAGATGGCACGCCATCGCGAGCGCAGCGTGGACACCGCTAGTCCGTGGCCAGTCCCAACTGTCTTGCAACTACACCCAGGGACGAGCTGCCGTCCATTTCCTGCGTTCCTTCCCGGCGTTGCAGGCCGCCTTTCATATCGCTGTGTGTCTCGTGCAGAGCATCCAGTCCGTCTCGAGCCCAGTGCCGAGCTTCATACCCGCATCGTGCTCAGCGCAGTGCATTCATATCGAGCCATCGTGTGTTGCTCCGAGCCGGTCAACGAGAGCCAGTCAAGTACGCGGTGGTCCTGCAGTGTACTTGGCCAGTGGCGAATCGTTGAACAGCACCCTGATACCCGTTGTCAGCACTACAGCATCATGTCCGCCATTTTCTCGGACAGGGACTCCAATGGCTCCACGTCCCGCAGCCGTCGAGAGGACCGTCACCAACGCCACGAAGATTCTCGCCGTGACGATCGACGTCACGACGACCGCCAGCATCGACGGGAAGAACCCCGTAGAGATGGCCGGTGGCGCGCTGCTCGCGAACTCCTGGAACACCGTGGCAACACAGGATCCAGCTGTCAAGGCCCTGAGGTGCTCCACAGCAGCAATCCCGAGCAGCAGGACGGGGCACTGTTCGCCACCCACCGACACCGACACGCAGATCAGCCAGATCAGGAGGAAGTGCTGCGCCCGAAGCCCCCGCCGTGGCCATGGAAGAGATCGAAAAAAAAACACCACATGGTTCTACTATTCATGATTCCCTTCAGGGCGACGCTGACCCATGGGCCAACGCCAAGTACGTCGAGCAGCAGCTGGGGCCCGCAGCCGCCGAACAACTCGCCCGCGACATTGCTGCGCCAGCCACTCCAGTCACTGGACACGCTACTCCTGGATCACGACAAGAACCACATCCCGCACATCAAGAACGACATGGACCTCCTACTTGGGATACCCGAAGATTTCGATGTCGCTTTACGGGAACTCATGCACCGACAAGTCGCCACTGCCGCCTCCCGATTTCAAGAACAAGCTGGCCAGTTCTTCGCTGAATCCCGTGAAAGTTCCCGCCTTCTCGCTCAACCACAAGCCACTTCTGCAGAACGCCGAATGGATGTACTCCATGACGAAGTCGCTCGCACTTGCAGAGAACTAGACCGCTAATCGTCATAACAGCAGCGAGTGTGGCCACATACCGACCAGATGCGCGACACACTTACCCTCGCCGAAGCACATACCCCGATCGCAGACCTCAATCGCCTTGCCGAATGGGGCCGTCGTCAGCCCGACCCGGCGCTCTTCGTCGTGGGTTGCCAGCGCTTCCCGGCTCCGAGCGCGGTGCTCAACGACGCCCAGGAATGAATTGCAGAAGCCAACCTCCAGCCTAACCACCTGGAAATATTCGGAGACGGCGAGCCTGCCCGCCGCTTCGTCCTACAAGTCAAAGGAGACAGTGCTGTCGCAGTACCCCGTGCACTGGCTCCCCCGCGCGCAATGCGCAATGCAGCTGGCCAATGGAAGCGGTTCACTTCAACTGACGCAACAGGCCAGCCAGTTGACATCTACATCAACCCTGACAAGTCCCCCAAGCAGATCAGAACAGAAGCCCAGACGAATGAGATCCTTCAGCTACTGCAGCAGCGCTACCCTCGCCTGCCAGCGGTGGAGAGCCACTGCGACGCCATGCCCGTCGCCAAAAGCACTATCCGAGGCCAGGCAGACCCCGTCCACCCCCCAGTGGAACGAGCGAGCCTTCGACAATCCGCAGTGCCAGTCCATCGGCCGAGGCAGTATCCCCACTTCCTTCCAGGCGCTCTTTGCCGACGCGGAACCAGCCGCCTGGCGCGCATGACCCTCGCCGCGTTCCTCGGCAGCATGACGTCGCCGCGGCGCCGACCGCAATCGCCTCAGAGAGCACGCGTGCCAACATGTCCTACAAGGGCAGACGCTACATCCACAAACCAGCCGCCGCCAAGCAAATGGAACGCAAGCGCGAGATCACGCTCCTGGAAGTCCACGGCCTCTTTTACATCAAGCTCGACCCTGAGTGCGTCGAGCTGCCCGTGCGCCTGCGCGCTGTCACGAGCACGCCCATGGTCATCATGAATGCCAACTACGCCGATTACATTGTCGCTGCCATACCCAAGATCGAGCTGCCGTCCACTCCGGCCGATTATCCATGCGTCGCTAGCCGCCACGCAGATCATTTTGTGCGTTGCCCCGAGCTTCCAGATCGCCCTGAGCCCCACGCCGAGCATCCGCATCGCCGCATCGAGCCTCGCGCCGCGCATCAATGTCGCTCCATCGTGTTCGGCCCCGCGCCAACTAACAAGAGTCATTCAAGTGCGCAGTGGTGTCGGGGCGGTCCTGGCCAGTGGCGCAGCTCCGAACAGCGCCCTCTTCACGTGCTCATCTCGGTCGAGCTCGCCATCAACAGTAAGGGCGCATACGACGCTGCGCTGATCTCGGGCGACCGCGCCATCATCCACGCGATCATATCCTTCATCTTTGGAATCAAGACGCACCAGCCGCTCATCGAGCAGTCCGTCCTCCTGTCGATCTCCGATGCTCCGTTCTTCGCCGTATTTTCCCCACCGCTGCTTGTCTCCACGAAGCTTGACCACGTCTACATGGGCCCCCCCGCTAAACAAGCCGCGCAGGCGCGCCCCGCCAGTGAGATCATTGTCGCTGTGCTACGCGCACGCTGGCAACCCAGCTTCGAAGCGAAACTTCTCGACGTTGCCAAGGGCGCCGGCTACGCCAACGCGCCAATGCCGAATGGCGTCCCCATCAATGTCGGATCGCCCCTCAATCTGCAGCTCAAGGCCATCATGGCCAGTGCTCTGCCGTCAGCTGCTGGACCAGCACATCTGTCTCAATGCGTCTGGCCCGCTCCCGTAGCCGCGCTTGACGGGCATGAAGATCCCCCCTCTTTCCTCTACTGGGACCAGTACTACATCCGCTTTCTGAGCGGCTCCGAATGTGCCCCCCTGCTTGTGAATGGCAATGTGCAGGGCGAGTTCACCGCTGACAATGCCCCCGCGGACACCCCCCCGCTCTCGCTGATGAACATGGACACCAAAGCCCCCGCAGGCACCGCTCAGTCCCTGATCAAGAGCGCTGCGACGAAGCGCACACATACCACCCAGCAGGACCTCCTCAAGGGAAACAACATCCACAAGTACATCGACCACTACGACGCCGTGAAACACCGCGCAGGTTGGCTGCCTGTCGCTGCCGCCTCCAGGCGTGTATTCGCCAGCCCCGCCCTCCTGCGCATACTGTACCTCTTCCAGGCGATGCACCTCGCTCCATCCAGCGACTTCACGTTCTACGGTGAGCCCGACGGCGCGGTCGCGCTCGGCTCTGGAATGGCGCCGAGCTGCATTGCATCAGGGCGGGCATGGGCGCTAGCCAAGGACTCCATCATCTACATCTCCGAGGCGTGTCTGAAGTTCCCGAGCGGCACGCAGAGCCTGGCGAATGGCTTGCGCGATGCATGCGCAGACATCATTGGCCTGCTAACAAGCCCGTTCGACACCATGAGTCAAGTGGCCACTCTGTTTACTTCGTCGGAGGGGCGTGCGCCCCTCGCAGCGAAGCCGCGCAAATGCTTTATCGTGCCTATTGGGCTGGTCGCGCCCCCAGCTACCATTGCCCTCTCGAAAGCTCTCCTGGTCGCTCTCGGACCCTCCTGGCGTGGTTCATCGGTTGTGTGGCGAGCCAAATCCCTGGGCTCCTTTCACGGACCCGAGGCCGCATTGGCCCTTCAAAGGCTCGTCGCTGAGCTAAAATGGTGGCAGCGGGGCAGTGTGCGTCAGCTGTTGCAGAGTGGCAGCGCAGCCGCCCACCGCTTTCACAAAAGGTACATCCATCGCAAGCCGTGAACAGTTTATCCCCCGCAAGGTGATGAACTTGCCACCGAATTCTTTTCGCATGACAGACCTGATCGCCATGGCAGGTTGGAGCTCGCCATCAGAAGTTCAATCTGCCTAGATTCGAGCTATTGCCTATGACACACGCTCCGCAGCGGAGTCGCCCTCAGGCGCACGGGAACCTCTCTAGTCTTCCCAGGCAGCCAGCGTACAGTACTACCGCTCCCCCATGTGCCAAGAAGCTCAATCGCCTTTCTCCAGCCATGCCAACGCTGCTGCCGCTGCGCCGCTCACAGTGCGCTGAGGGAGAGGTGGCAGTCGCGAGCCCACCCCGCCAAACCAAGTTCCAACGCATCTATACAGGTAAGCCACGCGAAATGACCTTCAAGTCGCCTTTCACGGCCACGCCTGCCAAGCGCCTCCCTGCCCGGGGCCGTCAAGAGCCCATGGAACAGGGAGAGCTACAGAAGCGCTGGAAGGGACTGGCCGACACTCTCAAGCAGATGCGCCCGAGCTGGCGCTGGTCTTCACTCGAGACCCTCAGCAGTGGTCGGACTACCACGGCTAGGATGCATATGTTCTAGCAGCACATGTGCGCGTTCGAATGCACGGACGCACCTGACTCATTCCCGCACTACCTCTCCTGCCCCGCCCCGTCGAGACTCCTCGGGCTCCCTGACCTCCCCCTTCATCCAATCAACAATGTCGGCTTGTGGGCTGGCCACTCCCGCAGTACATGCAGCTGGCCCCATCCAGCCCGATGTCTTTGCCGGCCTCCGTCTCAAGGATCGTTATGGCATTCCATATACACTACAAAATCAAATCCACTGCCAGCGCGCGCACGGCGGTTGTCTCGAAAGCAGACCTGGTCGCACCGCTCTGTGCAGCACACGCATTACTATACAGGTAGAGGCGCTAGGCCTGAGCACAGCGGCAGAGACTAACTGATTTGCCCTCTTCTCGTTCGTGCTCGTGTCCGCCTGCCCTCTTCCTTTCTCAGGGTGCCCATACTCCTTTTCCTCCTCCTCCTCCTCCTCCTCCTCCTCCTCCTCCTCCTCCTCCTCCTCCTCCTCCTCCCCCTTGGGGCGCCTTTGTCTCGTATGTTTTTATGTGCGCGTGCATGGGCCAGGCGCTCCAGCAGCGCGGGCCGCTGTTACTCAGCGAGCCTCCTGCGCTCGCCCTGCTGGCGCTGCTTCTGACGTGGGCCATATTGTATGTTTACTGTCCGTTGTCCTGCCCCCTCCCTGATTTCCCCTTCTGTTCTTCCTCCTGGCGCTGCTTTGCAGCATCCGCCTGAGTACCCGAGGCTCCCGGATGTTGGCCAGGGGAGTTTCGGCCAGGTTCGCTGGGCCGCCAGTCTACCTTTGGGCGCCTGGCGTTCGTCCGCCCGCTTTCCTGTCATCCTCCTCCGGCCAATTCGCTTTGTAGTGCCCCTGCATCGCTGCCGCGCTGGAGCGGATTGTCCCGCCTCGCCGCCGTCCTTTTCCCCCCGTTTTTTCCTGGTCCTGCGTCTGCTGGAGCGTGCAGTCCTGCCCTGGTGCTCCTTAGGTGGCCCGCATAGTTTGTGCGCTCGGCGTGGCGTAGTGGCTGTAGTGTAGCGCATGGCTGCCAGCTGCCGCGGCAGCGCGCTCAGTGTTGCGGCGTGCCCGCTCCGTCCATCCTCTTCTTACCTCCTCCGTCGCCTCCCCCTCCTCCGCCTCCTCCCCCCTCCTCCTCCTCCGCCTCCTCCTCCTCCTCCTCCTCCTCCTCCTCCTCCTTTTCCACCTCCTCCCTCGCCTCCCCCTCCCCCCCCTCCTCCCTGAATGTGATGACGTCTACCCGGCCGGCAACCTTCGACCTCTGCCAATATGGAGTTTCACAGCGTTTCGAGCCCTTATCCGCGCCAATGGGAGCCTTTGAAAGCCCCCCGTGAGGGGAAGCGGATTCGATACGCAATCGGAGCGGGAGGTGTTGCTGATGGGCGTTCGCGGTGGGAAAAACGTATGCAATCACTGTGTCAAAGCTTCTTGAAGCAATCTTGGGGTCCTCTTGGGGCCCCCTTGGGGGGTCATCGGCTCGTGGTGGGCCGTCTTGAGGCCATCTCGAGTCTTCTTGGGGCTTCTCCAGCGTGTTGGGGCCCTTCTTGAGTTGTGATTGAAGATGTCTTCGGTATTTTTGAGGCCTCGGAGGGTGGATTTCGAGGCTCCGAGGCTGGGTGGGTGGAGCTGGAAAAGGGGACAGTGTCTCACGCGCCTTGTTCCCCCCTGGCAAGCGGGGTCGGCAGATTTCCTGCTCCTTCTCCTCCTCCTCCTCCTTCTCCTCCTTCTCCTCCTCCTCATCCCTCAGGTTACGAACGTACCAGGACACTTTCAGCGGCACCGCGTGAATCACATATGTTATTTGTATTACTCGTCTTCGGAAGCGGAGTCTCTCGCCGAGACGTGCATTGGCCCAGTTTTCACCACTTTCGTCAGTTCTGTCATTGTCATCGTCGCCCTCGTCATCAGCACCACCATCATCATAGTCGCCGTCGCCGTTGCCGTCATCATCATCAATCGCCCACCCGAGTCGTGGGTCTAGATGAGAAGAGTCCTCGCGTCGTTGCGTCAGTTGGGTGCTGTCAACAGTTCGCAGGTGGGTAGATGGGATGTGTGCTTGACCTTTGGAATTGGCGATCCTGTCCACAAGCAACTAGCTGTGCTGTTTCCAGGAGGGTCCCAGCCTTGCACCAAGCCGCACGGCATTTCTGATAGTCGAGTTCTCGAGGTGACTCGCAGTCTGTAGCTTCTTGGTTTGGCTGCCGGTGCAGATGCAGGCATCATGATGCCATAACATCTCCGTTGCATCCTCCTGCGTGTACTCGCAGGACATGGAAAGAAGAATGGCTGCGCACGCCGTGGCATGCGAGGAAAAGATGAAAGAGAAGGAAGAGGAGATGAGGTTCGCTCCGCTCGCCATCGCCACTGCCGCCAGCCCTGGCCAGCCCAGCGCGATTGTGATAGGTTTGCACAGGGCTTACCTTGACGTGCGTGTGTGCGAGTGCGCGCGCGTGCCTGGGAGCCGTGGGTGCGCGCGTGTGTGTGCTGAGGGGCCACGCCCGAGTGCGCGTGCCCGCTCGCCTGGGCGTGGGCGAACAGCCGCTCCTGCACCGGCTCGGAGTGCGGCGAGGGCGTGTGGAGCGGGCACCCTGCGCAGGTCGGCTCGCTCTGCATGCCAGCTCCGGTCATGCACGGGCTTCGGGCTGCTGGCTTTGATCGGCCTGCAAGTGCTGCAGCGGCATCTGCGTGCGTCGCGCGTGCGAATAGAATGGCAGCGTCAGGCGTCTCGACATCGTTGCTATGTCCTTACAGGGCGTCTTCGGGCCGTCTCAGGCTGGCCCTGGGGGGTCTAGGCCAGTCCTGCATGGAGCGGCCTTGGGTCGTCCTGGGGCCGAGAAGCGTGCCACGGAGCAGAACGCAGCGGGTGATCTTGTCAGGCAGGTGTATCATGCAAGCGGCGACCAGGTCCCCTTGCCCAGAGGCCGCCCACGTTTCCCAAACTCACCCTCCCGTCCACGGGCACCTTCTCCGCCTCCGCCTCCTCCTCCTCCTCCTCCTCCTCCCCCTCCTCCCCCTCCTCCTCCCCCTCCTTCTCCTCCTCCTCCTCCTCCTCCTCTTCCTCCTCCTCCTCCTCCTCCTCCTTGGCCCGAAGGGTCCGGGGAGGCCGGGCCGCCGTGCGGGAGCCTCCCCGAAGCTCCCCGTGTGCTCCTCGAGGTGTCCACCGGGCCGCACAGCGGGCCTGACGCGGCACCAGAGCTCCCCAAGATGGCCCAAGCAGGGCTCGTTTCGATTCCTCCGATTCGATTCGATTCGACCTCGATGGCTTTCGATTCCCATTCGATCCGTCCTGGGATTTCGATCCGGGTTCCGATTTCTCTTTGGAGGCATACTAGCCTGCCGATGTCCGCGGATTCGACTTTTCCCGACTCGGCTGCCGATTTCCGCCGATCCGATTCATGTCGATCGCCGATCCAATTTGTCGATTCGATTCTGGGCTCTCCTGCCCAAGAGAAGATGGCCGTTCGTAAGTTGCAGATCTCCAAGGAAGGCAAAGGGCTCTCTGAAGGCAAACGCCGCGCCCGCAGGAACACGCATGCTTCTCTGCCTGGAAATCCTCGCCTTCAGTGGGCGCGTGCAGCGAATCATCGTGCCGCGGGCCCCTCCGGCATGCTGCTTGGCCCACCAGTCAGGCACGAGGTGACCGAGGTGCTGGCAGCATTTCTCGCGACCAGCCTTCCCAGCCCTTGTCAGCTCTGTGAGCTGACCGAGGTGCTTGCAGCATCTCTCGCGACCAACCTTCCTCGCCCCTGTCGGCTCTGTTGCCGCGAGTCCCGGTGAGGTGGAACGCGGGTTGCGCCAGGCTGCTTGGCATGGCGATCGGGCCCGCCACATCGCGGGTGTGCCTGTTTTCCGTGCTCCTTGCCCCTCCTCGTCCCTTCCTCCTCGGGCCACACAGCCTGGTGCCAGCTGCGGCCGCTCTGACTGCCACTGATCGGAAGCTGGAACATACACATCACCAGTGGCGGGTCGTTTCTTCAATCCCACGACTTCTTGAGGGTCGGGGACGACGTGGGGGTGGTGTTGTGTATACTTCCCCCCCGTTTTCCAAGGGAAACAACGATAAATGCATACACCAGGATCCCGTATACACCAGGATCCGCGTTCCCGTGCGAATTTAAGCGCAGGGTCGGAACAAGCGTCGGTGTATAGAGTTCGTTTCCCTAACTGAGTTCTTCCCTCAGCGTTGCGAGTCGTGTGTCGGGCGCGAGCTTCCGAGCGGAGCCCGGGCCTCAAGCAGCCGTCAGTGGGCCCGAGCTCGGCGTTCGCCGTCATTAGTGAGCAAAGAGGGCCCACCACATCGCGGCTGGGCTTTCCCGTCGCGCTGGTGGTAGAGTGGTCTGCCAGTCAGGCTGGCCATCGCATGCGTCCTGTGTCGTTGTGTGTTTTGAGCGTACTGTTGCAGTGCCTGGCGAGTCCACATGTGTTTTCAAGGGGATGCTCGTCTGCGTACGTACGCGCTCTGCGTATGCAGCTGCGCGCCGGTAGTTGTCTGCGCTGGGTGTACATACATGCATGGCTTAAAGGGTGCGTTCCATTAGGTCGTGTCGTGCGTCCTCATGGTGAGGCGTTGTGGCTTTACTTTATCCGCCTGCCTCCCGCATTGTGTACGTGTTGCAGGCAGTGCTGAGCTAGTCCCATAAGTACTGGTTATTCAGCCACCCGCACGGAACAAGCAACAACGCACGCTCTCTTTTGTATTCGTTGGTTCAGTTTTAGTGCGATATTTCTACTGGTCCTGCTGTTTTCCTGCATGTTTTCCGCTTCCCATTCAGAGGCGGAAGACTGAGAGGAACCGTGCGGAGTGCGAGCAGCTCGAGAAGGAAAAGCAGGACATGCAAAAGCAAATGCAAGTCTTCAGGAACGACTGCGAAAGCAGAATGGCGGAGGATCTCCCTCTGAGCCTCTTATCTTTTTGATGTGCGACGAAGCTCTATCATCCAATCGCTTCGCATGTTCAGCCTCTGTTCTGCATCTTGTCCGTGCGAAAGAACCAGCGATGATGATGATGATGATGATGATGATGATGCTGATGATGATGATGATGATGACGATGATGATGATGAGGATGATGATGATGATGATGATGATGATGATGATGATGATGATGATGATGGTAATGGTGACGATGACGATGATGATGATGCTGATGATGATGATGCTGATGATGCTGATGATGATGATGATATTGTTGATGATGATGATGATGATGTTGATGATGGTGATGGTGATGGTGATGGTGATGATAATGATGCTGATAGTGCTGATGATGATTATGATGATTATGATGATGCTGATGATGGTGAGGAGGAGGAGGAGGAGGAGGAGGAGGAGGAGGAGGAGGAGGATGGGCAGCTGCGCCCAACCTTCAGGGGGCATGTATGCGAGCCTTACAAGTGGCCTGAGCGTCGTGATCACCTCATAGCGTTCTCGTGTGCACGATGACGCAATGCTATCAGGACGTTGCTTGTTTGTCTTGTGATCGCTTGCCTGCGGCGCCATCGCGTGAAGGAGAAGGTAGAGATGTCAAAGAGGACGGATGCTTTCTTCTCCGAGTGCGAGAAGACCATGGAGGCTTCGGTTGTTTTGTCGCAGTCAGGCGTGGTAACATCTTGACTTGAGGGATGGGGGTCAGGCATGATTGAAGATAGGACGCAGCAATCACGTTGTGTGGCATAGATGTGGCAATCGAAAAGAAGAGCAGCCCTGTTGGTTGATAGGCTTGTTGGAGGTAAGTGCGTTGACGCGAGGCGAACGAGAAGGAAATGGTCAGGCAGACAGAAGAGTTCAACGCCGAGCGTAAGAAAATGGATGCTGAAAGAGCAGAGCTGAGGAAGAGCATGAACACTTTCCGTACGCTGCTCGGGCCGCACATAACAGATCTCGCAGGGAAGATGCTTTCCTAATCTGCCCCTTCTTCTAGAAATTCCGCCTCCTTGTTTGTACGGACCGTTTTTCGTTTCCCCAGTTCTTCGTCCTCCAGTTCATCCGATCGTCTTCTTCCAGGCTGCGGACGCACCAGCCCTTACATCTGTGAGGTAGATGTTTGGGACGCTCTAGCAAACGCTTGGCCAGAAACAGACACCGACCCTCTGTCCCCTCGTCTTGTTCCTTCCTCTCCCTCTTCTTCCTCCTATTCGCCCTCCTCTTCTGCAATGCTTCCCAGCATGGGCCCCGAACAGATGTTATTGCACTGCCGTGGCGCAATGTGTGTGATGGGTGATGTGCCAAAGAGCGCGCCACGGGAGACTGGAAGAACACAAGGGGGGGACCAGCTTCATAATAAAAGAAAAACATAAATACTATAAAACACAATTACGAAAAAAACGAAACAACAGCTTCTAGCTGCTCCTCCTCAAGCAGGTGGAGGTTCAGAGCTGCCCCCTGCTCCTTTTGGGAAGCCGTGGCCCCCCTTTGACAGGGTGGGGGGGGGAGGGGGCGGCGGCTTCGGAAGCCCCCTCCCCCGGGGGCTTCCAATCGGGGAGGTACAGTGGGGGCCCATGCCAAGAAACACCCTGCTTGCCTCCAGGGTGCCCTGGGTTTCCTGGGTTTCGAGGGTTTTGCTATGGAAAGCGTGACGCTCCCACACCCAAGATCAAATGGACGTCCTGGGGTCTCAGGGTTGGGTGTCTTGTGGAAGGTTTCTTTGTGGACTGGCCTCCGCTGTAAAAGCGACGGGGGAGGGCAGCTTGCAGGGGCTGCAGGGGGAAAAGGGGTGGGGAGGGGGGCTTGGGGGGGGGGGAGGGCTTCCGGCAGGGGAGCCAAAGGCGGGGAGGGGGGGAAGTCTAGCTTCGGAGCGCAAACAATGGAGGGGGGGAGCTTCCAGTCGGGGAGAGGTAGCTAACAGGGGGTCCTCCCCTTCTGCTCAGCCTCCCGTGGCGCGCTCTCCTTTTATATGCGGTACAATTAATGTAAAACATCGGAGATCGTCAATTCCGATGATGATGATGATGAGGAGGAGAAGGAGGAGGAGGATGAGGATGAGGATGAAGGGGAAGATGGTGATGGTGATCGTGATGATGATGATGATGATGATGATGATGATGATGATGATGATGATGATGATGATGATGATGATGATGATGATGATGATGATGATGATGATGATGATGATGCCCTCTCCTCCCCCTCCTCCTCCTCCTCCTCCTCCTCTTCCTCCTGCTCCGAGGAGAAGATCGGGGCGGGCGAGGGTCAGGCGATCGCAAACATGGATCAAGGGGGCGTGGATTAGCGACGGGCCCCGTTTCCATGGGAAATCCGAGGCGGCACCGTCCGCACTTGGGGGAGGGCACCTCCCCCGATCCATGGATTTGGCGGCCGCGCGCCAAATCCATGGATCGCTAATCCATGTTTGCGCGCACCTGAACCTGAAGATCCCCACTTCGTTCAAACAGATAGGGCAAGACTCGAATTTGGTTGTCTTGGGGCCCTCCCCAAGAGTGCTCTTGGAGCACCCTCGAGCCGGCTCGTGGGGCTTCTCGGGCCATCTCGAGCTCATCGTTGGCCGTTTTGGGGTGCTCTTGGGCCGTCTTGGAACCCTTCTGGATCTTCTTGGGGCCCTCGAAGAGCCGTCTTGGGCCGTCGGAGGGCGCTCTCTGGCCTCTGGTAGCAAACGCAGAGCCCCAGAAGGCGTGCGGAGCACCCAGCCCAGAAGCCATGCGAGGAGCCCCCGAACTCCGAGGCCCGCGTTTGGCGCGTCTGCGCTGCGTCTACACGTGTCTGGCGTGTCGCCCGGCTGCTTCCGCACGTCTTTGGCGTGTCTCAGGCGCGTATTTGGCGTGTCGCCTGGCTTTTCAGGCGCGTGTTTGGCGTGTCTCAGGCTTGTGCCAACGCGTCCTACTGGACGCACGGCTTACTGACTGATCAAAGAAGCCGAAGCGGTTTGAGAACACTCAGTACCCCGTGGCACGATGGTGGACACGTATCTGTGTATATGGAACGTTCTGGTGTTATTCAGTGGCAGCGCGGAGGGTGGCTTACCGCTTTTGCCTTGCAGAGTGGTGAAATAGATTTCGGCAGTATTGCGGTCATTGGCACGCGGTCGACGAGTTCGGTGTGGTCTCTACTGTCGCGCGCCGTCGGAGGAGGCGCGACACGCTCACATCTGGGATCTTGTTGGCCCATCACTCTTTGCAAAACGGTTTCGCAGAGGCGCAGCGCGCGTGTGGGCACGCCACTTCGAGCTCGGCTCCAAACGAGGGGTCCAGCATTGACGAGACGGCGGGGTGCAGGGGCGGGTTCGCGCCTAAGGTGCCGACAGCGAGCGCAAGATGGCGGAGGAGGAGGCCGCGATGAGGCGCAAGATGCAGGACGGGGGCTTCCTCCTCCTCCTCCTCCTCCTTCTCTTCCTCCTCCTCCTCTCTTCTCCGCATCCTCCTCCTCCTCCCTCCTTCTCCTCCTCCTCTTCCTCTTCCTCCTCCTTCTCCTCCTCCTCTTCCTCCTCCTCCTCCTCTTCCTCCCTCTCCTCCTCCTCCTCCTCCTCCTTCTCCTCCTTCTCTGCCTCCTCCTCCTCTTCCTCCTCATCCTCCTCATCGTCCTCCTCCTCCTCTCTTCTCGGCCTTCTGGCAGTCACCATGTCGCTACGGTTGAGGGCCGTTCGAAGAACCACTTACGCGCATGAGGGACATGGTGAAGAGTGTCGGCGCTTCTGTTGACACGTTTCTCATGCTTCCACGCTCTGTCCACCTCACGCTCGCAGGCGGTTGCGCTTAATGCTGAACTTAAGATTTGTAATGCTGAAATGGCAGCTTTAGAATTGAAGTAGACACTACGTACACACATTACATGAACAAGCACTACGTAGAAGCACTTCGCAGGGGTAGTAGTAGGAGTAGCAGGAGTAGTAGTAGTAGGAGTCGTCGGAATGGTATTTTAGTAGGAGTAGTAGGGGTAGTCGTAGGAGGAGTAGGAGTAGGAGTAGAAGGAGTAGTAGTAGTAGTCCTCGTAGTAGTAGTCGCCGTCGTCGTGGTAGTAGTAGTAGTAGTAGTAGTAGTAGTAGTAGTAGTAGGTAGTAGTAGTCGTAGTAGTAGTAGTAGTAGTAGTAGTAGTAGTAGTAGTAGTAGTAGTAGTAGTAGTAGTAGTAGCAGTAGTAGTAGTAGTAGTAGTAGTAGTAGTAGTAGTAGTAGTAGTAGTAGTAGTAGTAGTAGTAGTAGTAGTAGTAGTAGTAGTAGTAGTAGTAGTAGTAGTAGTAGTAGTAGTTAGTAGTAGTAGTAGTAGTAGTAGTAGTAGTAGTAGTAGTAGTAGTAGTAGTAGTAGTAGTAGTAGTAGTAGTAGTAGTAGTAGTAGTAGTAGTAGTAGTAGTAGTAGTAGTAGTAGTAGTAGTAGTAGTAGTAGTAGTAGTAGTAGGGGAAGTAGGAGTAAGAGTAGTAGGAAGTAGTAGTAGTAGTCGTCGTAGTAGTAGTAATAGTAGTAGTAGTAGTAGTAGTAGTAGTAGTAGTAGTAGTAGTAGTAGTAGTAGTAGTAGTAGTAGTAGTAGTAGTCGTAGTAGTAGTCGTAGTAGTACTAGTCGTAGTGGTAGCAGTAGTAGCAGTCGTAGTAGCCATAGTAGCCATAGTAGTAGTAGTAGTAGTAGTAGTAGTAGTAGTAGCTGTAGTAGTAATAGAAGAAGTAGTAGTAGTAGCAGTAGTAGACGTAGACGTAGTCGTAGTCGTAGTCGTAGTAGTAGTAGTAGTAGTAGTAGTAGTAGTAGTAGTAGTAGTAGTAGTAGTAGTAGTAGTAGTAGTTGTAGTAGTAGTAGAGTGGTAGTAGTAGTAGTAGTAGTAGT